CCGTGAACATTTTATCTTTGTGATGCACAACCGAGTGAACATACTTCACGTCTAGTGTCATGCAATTCAGCATGTTAAGAGCGTCATATCGCTATAATTCTGAGACTTACTGGAAGTTTCTTAACGCCGTTAAGCATTTCAATTGACACAGCAGTCTTAGATGCCACGTTACCCTGTGGGCCATTGAAGGTTTTTGGTAAATTGGCAGCTTCGCTTCTGATATAATTGTCATTCTCGCGCAACAACCGAAGAGTGTAGTTGAATAGCCCTACCGTCTCTTGAATGCTAAAGAGCCTCTACTTCAGGTGCTTTTCATGGACTGAGAAGATCAATTTCTTCATAATTTCCCGACATCGGACATCCCGGTTCTCGGTTCGTTTAAGTAATCATTTCCCGAATCCTGCTCCTCAAATTCGCCAATTCCCGTGTCCTGTTCACGATAGAAATCCCGCATATTGCTCCCCTCTTACTTTAAATTCCCGGATCCCGACCTTTAAATACTGCTCAATCTCGGAACCCGAAAAACCTATTGGAGACCCTCCTTAATGTGTACGCCGCAATTTCCTTCAGTCAACCTGTGTGTGTAGTATATGTTGGACTGCTTGTGAGAAGTTTTATGGCATAGATGTTGTTGTGGGGTGGGGGGGCATGCGAAAACGACTGAGAGGTATCTTTCTTTTGAATTAAGCTTGGAAGAATGTTACACTGTATATACGACCTGTGTATGTCAATGCAGTACTCCGTGTGTACTTGCATGCATGGAATATGTTTAATGCGCGAGTGCTCATGATAACTTAACAAGAATTTGAGAAGGAGACTGAAGATGGAGACTGGTATGGCGGCCGGTCAGGTTTTATTAAGGTCTCTGAACTTGAGTCTTTTTATCCTGTTTTACCTTGGTAATACTCTATACAGGGGTCCAAATCAATACTTATCAACGTCCCTATTACAACTAAATGCTTTATCTGACTGCTATCCTCTAAGAAGCTTCCTGAACGGAGGCCCACCAAGTATTCCACCACTTAGGGACAGCGGCCATATTGGTTTTCCTCCAACATGGGTCTCGACTATTAAAAGGAGCTTTCTGAGCTCAAGAATCTCCAGGTATACTTCTCCTTCTTCGACAGTTACTTTCCAACTTTTAAAGAAGGCGTCTGATCTAAAAATTTTGCTATCCGGCGATATCGAGCTCAATCCTGGTCCCATGCGTAATCAAGATGGCTTGATCGACTTGCTAACTTCCCTTAGAAAGAACAGAAATGGTGTAGTTATAGTCGGCCATTCAAACGTTCGCGGACTTTACGGCAATCTTAACCAAGTTAGACTTCTTCTCAAGTATTCACAATTGGATGTTATTGCTATTACAGAAACTCATCTGAACGAGTCCATTGACGATTCGGATATCTTCATCGAAGGCTATTGCCTTTGGAGGCTCGATAGAAGAAATAAACATGGTGGTGGTGTTGCCTTCTATGTTAAACGAAACATTGACTGTGAATTACTCTCTTAATACCAAAGGGAAGATGTTAAAACTCTTTGGTTAGAAATAAAAGCTCGCTCACAAAGACTCCTCGTTGGATGTGTATACAGACCCCCCGGCTACGACGATTTTTTTGACAAATTCAACTTAACTCTCGAACGTATTTGGAGATCGCGAAAGAACGTTATTATTACCGGCGATTTTGATGCAAATTTATTATTAAATTCAGACGCCTATGGGAAAAAACTCCGTCAGATAATGAACTACTACAGTTACACGAATTTGATAAAGAAACCAACTCGTACAACTGAAACTACAAATATTGTGTTGGACTTGATACTTGTTAATAACCTCTCTAAAGTCAAATATGCTAATGTAATGGATTTTGCAATTGCTGACCACAAGTTTATTTATGCTGTCTATGATCTCATTCCAAAGAAACAAAACCCTCTGATCCTGAAATTCCAAAGTTTCAAAAGAAAGAAATCCTGTTTAGTCAGAACCCTTTAGGACAACAACATAATGAAATATCAGATGGCACTGATGAAGCAAATTTTTTTAACACCTACTTTAAATCCATTGGTAAAAATCTCTCACAGAAACACACTTTACCTGATGATTTTGATATGTTGTACCACATACATAGAATTTCTCCCACCACACAAACTGTGGAGCTAAATGTTGCCCAAATTGCCAACGACCTTGAGAAGGTGAAAGCTAAGAAAGCCTCTGGCCCAGACAACATCTCATCACGAGCCTTATCCCCAATAAAATCCTCTTCTGCTGATGGCCTATTTACCATATTTCGTAAAAGTTCATGTCTAAATCAGTTCCCTGATATGTGGCAACAACCTAAAGTTATTCCAGTTCACAAGAAGGGCTCCTTCTCTGAGGTTCCTACAGCTTCACAGGGTCTGCTCCTAGCCCAAGTCTGGACATGATCTCTAACTCATCTAGATGAACTAGATTTAGTAATCAATTTAATGTTATTAGGGTAAAACCTGAATTAGGAAGGAGTTCTTTTCAATATACAAGGGTCCTAATATTTGGAATTTAATAAATAAGAAAGTTAAACCTTCGAATGTTAGTGAAGAAGGATTTAAAATAACTTAAGAAAGCTTTCCAAAGATATTCTCAAATTTCCATTTAACTAAGAGGCTATTACAATTTCAAACAAGAAGGATGATTTCCACGTCAGCCCGTGGCTACCGATGCAATATTGTTTCAAGCAATTTTGTAATTATTAGCCTGCTTAAACAAATAAAGGATTGATTGATTGATTAACTGATTGATGGATAAGTAGTTGGCAAGAGTTTGCAAAACTTTGACCTCTATAGGTGACAGTTTGACGGTTAAGAAGGTTTGTGTGGACCTGATCACCCAAATCATGGAATGATGAAAAATATTTATACTTTCTTATGAACTAAATATTACAACACTGATTATTCGTTGTCCTAATG